ATAGCCCAGGGTCAACAGTACTTGAAAACTCTGATTCTGAAAGAGAAGAAGAAGAAGAAGAAGAAGAAGAAGAGGACTGTTTTGTTCAACCCTAGACGCCGATCTGGGAATGGATCACAAAATGAAGCTGAGCTGACTACCCCATCTGTTGGGAAAGACAGTCCCCAAGAGAGAGAGGTTCCTAGTCCAGTGGTCTCCGACAACGAGACCGATTACAATGATGAACAGTACCCTCCTGCTGAGGACAGGTACAAACAGCTGGAGGACCGATTAAGTGCTATGGAGATTCAACACGTGCCCGGGTTGGATTTTGGAGATCTAGGTTTATCCTATGGGGTGGTGATTCCTCACAAGTTCAAGGCACCTGCCTTTGCGAAGTACGATGGAGCGTCCTGTCCTAAGCTGCATCTCAGATCATATGTAAGGAAGATCCAACCTTACACTGTAGACAAAAATCTATGGATCCATTTCTTCCAGGAAAGTCTTTCAGGGACTCAACTCGAATGGTTCTATCAGCTGGATGGAGCCAGTATTCGTAACTGGGAGGACTTGGCTATTGCGTTCTACAAGCAGTATCAGTATAATTCCGACCTCGCTCCTACGCGTACCAAACTCCAGGGTATGTCACTAGGGACGGGTGAAGGATTCAAGGAATACGCTCAAAAGTGGAGAGACCTTGCTGGAAGGGTGCAACCACCTCTGACTGACCGTGAACTCGTTGACATGTTCTTGGGTACCTTGTCTAGTCCTTTCTTCAACCATCTGATTGGGAATTCTTCTGCTGGGTTTACAGATCTGATCTTGACTGGGGAAAGAATTGAAGCTGGTATCAAGTCTGGGAAGATACCAAAGGGTGACTCCTCGAACACCGAGAAGAAACCATTCAAGAAAGAATCTAGTGCTGTCTATGGTTCAAAAGGGTAGAATAGGTCCGAGCACCGCCAAGCTGTCAACACGGTAGTTATTTCAAAACCGGCCAGTGCTCCTCAATATCGCAACCAACAAAGGGAAGAGAGACCTAAAAGGCAATTCACTCCCCTCAGTATGACCTTGTCCCAGATATTGCCACAGTTGCTGGAGACCAATTTGGTAACTCTAAGGGACCCTCCTAAGAATCCCAACAAAACACCTTCAAGGTATAACCCCAACGCCCGTTGCGCTTATCATTCTGACAGCCCGGGGCATGCTACAAATGATTGTTGGACTCTGAGGAACAAGGTTCAGGATCTAATCGATGCAAATGAGGTCCAGTTCGAAGCGCCCGAGGCTCCCAATGTGATCACTGCTCCCTTGCCAAAACATGGCTAGGATTGAAAAACTTTTGTTCATTCGAATGTTTAAGTTGTATTTTTCTTTGATTGTTCAAACATTTTATTCATGTCAAACGTTGTTATTTCATTAATGCATTACACTTGTCTTTTTTGAAGTAATTATGTTCACTATGCTTAAAACTGCTTTCATTTTTTGATGTTCAACTCTCGATTAATAATTCTAAGCCTCTTGAGGGAGGATGACGAAAACGATACCACAATCTACAGTATACTTTTGAACCGACCCCGCTGATGAGGTACATGCATTGTTTCAATTCCTAAACACTGGAGTTATAAGGAAGATAATCCCTAGTCAACCCCTTCCAATGACTAAAGAATCAATCCCAAACCATTTTCTGATCTCAAGTTATGAATTTTGAGCTTAAAGCGTAGCGAATTAAATTTTTGTCTACATTGTCTCAAATCAAACGCGATGCTTGGCTTTCTACACAATTCAGAGTGATGATTACTTAATTGGTTGTTGATTTAATAGCTTGAAACAACATGCGGAGTGCATAAAAATGCGAAAAATCCCGAATTCCGCTATACAATACCGCTTAACGAAACAATCAATTTTCACATTTTTTTCACAGAGAAATGCCTCGATTCCATAAGTATAGGCTCAATGACATGTATGTATGCATATGCTGATGAAGTATAATCCAATTAGGATTAAAATGAAGAGAGCTAATTTTAGAGTACAACATATATTATATATAATATCTCTAACATATCTAACTTGGATCATATTTAACATTATATCTAATATCTCAGCATACCCCCATATAATCCAAATCGTCGAACCTACGCTAATCATAGTCAATATGAACTATTCTTAATTTCTTTCTCAAATTTAGAAATCTTTCGATCTTCAATCCTTTGGTGAAAATGTAGGCCAACTGTGCTTCACTCGAGCAATGTCTTACTTCAAATTTACCTCGATTTACCTTTTTCCTCAAGAAGTGGAATCTAGCTTCGGTATGCTTACTTCTTCCATGAAAAACTGGATTCTTCGTCAAATTTATAGCTGACTTATTGTTGATTTACAACACAAGAGGTTTCTTCACTTCGACCTCCATTTCTTCAAGTTCCGATTTGATCCAAATTTCTTGACATGCAACATAGGATCATGCTATATATTCAACTTCACATGATGATAATGCCACCATATGCTTCTTTTTCAAGCAGCATGAGATTGGAGCATCAAATACTTTAAAGAAATATCCAGTTGTGCTTCTTTGATCTTTCTTTTCTCCACACCAATTAGCATTTGAAAAATAAGTAACTATTGCTTCTCTGCCTTCATAATCTCGTCGAAATAGAATTTCACAGTCTATCGATCTTTTTAAGTATCTCAGAATTCTTCTTGCAACCTTCATGTGTGACACCCTTGGTACACTCATGTATCTGCTCACTAATCCGACTGTAAAACCTATATCATGTCAACTGTTGCACATATACCTCAGAGATCCCATAATTTGCTTGAACAAAGTTACATCGACTTTGTCTTCCTCTCACAAAGGTGGATAATCCTCAAAGATGGATACATGGTGTGTCTCTCACAAAGTACATAATCCTCAACTTTATATCAATGCTCATACTAACTCCACTCAACAAATGGTATCATAGCTTTGGTTCAAGAAAGGGACCGACTTACTTGTATCGAAATGTCCAAGAAGAGGTGTCATGTTGCAAGGTGTCAACGACAGTACAAGTGGGAGAGCATTGTGAACTCATACTTGATGGAAAGTGTTAGAATAATAATACAAGTGTGAGTAAGTGGTGAAATAGTCTCACTCACATATCTCCTTAAAGTTTTAGATGGATAAATGATGTGTCTCCCACAAAGGTACATAATCCTCAATTTTGTATCAATACTCCTAGTAACTCCCCTAACATCTATGTCCTGCTTTCTTGATTTTATTTTACAATTAGAGTCAGAGTGTCCTAGAGCTTTGTAGTAATAACATAACTAGAGCTGACAAAACGAGCTATCCGGTCCGTTTTGGGCTGGCCTGTGACGGGTTCAGGCCTTTGGCAGGCCGATCCTAAAAGCCTAAAATTTAAACGGACTATATTTAGTTGTTCAAGCCCGACCCTTCACAGGCTATGGTTATTCGGACCAGTCCGGATAAAATTTAATATTAATTTTTATTAAAAAAATAATTTTTTTAAATAAATAAATTAATAGACTATAAACTAAAAAAACTAAAATATATATGATTATTGATCACTAAAAAGTATAAATCAATTATGTTCCTAACATCTAAGATAAAATATCATAAAAATAAATTATTTTAATTAAATAATCAAGATTCAAATTGAGATATTAGTAGTATAATGTATTATAAAATAGACATTAATTATATAATATATTATAGTTTTTTTTATTAAAATGGACATTAGTAGTCAAATATATTATAAAATAGATATTTTTATTATTAAAAAATAATATGGACATTAGTTGTATAATATATTATAATTTTTATAAAAAATAGAAAAAGTTAAATAAACGGGCTACCCACAACTCGATCGGACTAACCCGATTAATATCGAACTTTTAATGGACCGTACTTAAAAGCCCATATAATAAATGAGCTCTAATTTTTTGTTCAAGTCTAAAATTTTTTATAAACTTTCAAACCAGTCCGGTTAATCCGACCCGTTTTGTCGGCTCTAGACATTACTGATATTTTCTCGTGACATAACTTATATTTTCTCATATTCTATCTCTAACAAAGAAAGACTTAACTTACTCTTTCCACAAGAATTTTATCTATCATCTGTTTAAGTAAGTCAATGTCTACCAAGACTCTAAGATAATGGCCAAAAGCCCTCTCAAATGATAGTATATTGGTTGTTGAATCAATATGTATGGGGTACCTAGACTACTAGCAATGACAAATATAATTTTGGGTCTTCAATACTCTTAGCATAACCTGTGAATCCTGATCCTTACTTGGCTGAAGTGTGGTTAACATTATTAGGAATAAAATCCGTAGTCCAAAGGAATAGTTTTAGAACTCCAGGGCTTAAGCTCCATGAAGGCAATGGACCTGAACCTTCTAACCTCTTCTAAATTACAAAGGTAAATTCATAAAAGTCCTTACCTAGGAAGGTGATGCTCCACTTTGCGATTGAGCCCCATAAAGATGTTAATTTTGCTTGAAGCTGAAGCACCGCGAGAGGGGAGGAACCTTCGGCCACAAAATCCTAGGTAAGGACTAAAGAAAAATGTTTCTAGAAAGAGGATGTGAACATGGATGGAATCCATGAATGATGAAGGATCATTTATTCTAAGTCAACAGTGTTTGGAGTCGCCATCCACCATTTTTCTTTTCAAAAGTATTCTGATAAAACATATGTCTTATAATGAATATATTACAACCCATAAAACATAGAAAGTCACAATTAAAACACATAATCACTTCAATCATTATTGAAGGCAAATATTTTACAGTATAAATTGATAAAATCTCTCATCAAAGCTGACTAAAAAATAAAATAAAAATCAATAAGCAAATAGACATATATTTACATCCCTCCACCTTTGCCTAGTAATATCTACATATACTGCATGTCCACATTCTCATTCTTTGGCTTTTGACGTAAGAAGGAAGATTGTGAAATTTTCAATCATAATAACACAAAAAATGGCTAAAGCATTGTAGAAATTAATCGAAGAAGAAATCAATTTCTCAACAAAGGAGTCTTTTGCATCCATTGAACACCATCACTTGTTCCAAAAACTAAAGCTCCTGCAATACAAACACTAATATACATCAGAACTCTTTTTCAATTTGAGTAATTTTCTTAAAATATTGCTTGTTAGTTTGCAAATCTTAGTTCAAGAGACAGAAATCAATATTGTTATGTTGGATACCATCACCAAGATTCGATATCTTGTACTCATGATTGTGTGTGAGAATTATATGAGTGTCATCATCAAAATTCGAACTCACGATTTTGTGTATGAATTTATAATAGTTATTACAATTTTGTATACCAAAAAAAATTGAGAGATTTTAAGAATAATTTTGCAAATAATTTACCTAGAGATGGCATAAAAACTGAGAGCACGGCAATTCCAGTAATCTTAAGTGGCAAACCAACTTTAAGAGTATCTTGAATTTCAATATGTCCAGTGGCAAAAGCAACTACATTTGAGGGAGTTGAAGTTGGAAGCAAGAAAGCAAATTCAGAAGCCATTGCTCCAGGGATCATAAGAAGAAGAGGATGTACATGCATAGTTCTAGCTATGTGATATAAAAGTGGTATAATGAGTGTAGCAGTAGCATCATTTGAAGTTATGAACTCAGTTATAATACTACTTATAAGAGTAACAGCAGGAACTATGGCTAAATATGGAGCATCTTCTAAGAAATCTATTGCTCTTGAAAGTACATCGGCTAGACCGCTAGCTTGAACTCCGTCAGCTAATGCGAATCCAGCTCCAAGAAGTAGAATTAGGTTCCATGGTAGTTTCTTGCATTCGTTCCAATCCATTAGCTTTTCACCTTCTTGTTTTCTGTTAGGGATTATGAATAATAACACAGCCACCATAACCTACATTATGAAGAAAAAAAATATTAAGTACTAAAACCTGACATTGAGACTGACACATATTGGTATTAGACATACACACGTATCAGACAACTCACATTTATTAATATTAGACATATATACGTTTCAGACAACATACACATATTGATATTAGACATATACAAGTATCATGCAACTGACACGTATTGATATTAGACATATACACGTATCATACAACAAACACATATTGATAATCGACATACACATATATACATATCAGAGAACACAGACACATGTTGATAATAGACATACACACATGCGTACGAGACATCTGACACATATTGATAATAGACATATTCATGCATCACACAACCAACACCATTCAATCTAAAGTCAGAGAAAATATGTGTAGTACTCACACTGACACTTCCATCACCAACAAGGCCATTGAAAAAAGCTCCCCATCCGGGAATGTCATCTGTGATTCTTCTTGTCATCCATAATATGATCAACAACTGCATTTTTACAATATTGCTTATTAATTAATGTGTTTGATCAATTTTCGTTTATATTTGAGATTTGAATAATTCGAGATGCATACCCCAAACACTAACAGCACCATTTTCTCAGCGAAAGACATGGGACCTGCAAATATAAATTACAGAATTATAAATGCATGAGAAAATGAGTGATGCCGTATAAATTTTTTTTACATTGTCAATCAATCACGATTATGAATCCTGCTAAATCATACTGTTATTTTTTTTTAAATTTATATAACATGACAAAACAATATGTTGCTATTGGATGAGTTTTACACTGCATTTTTTTTAAACTTTAAATGCATTACCTTAAAAAAAAAAAAGTATTGAAATATAGGCTGAAAAAGAAAGGATTAAAGTATACTACAAATTAACAATGATGTTCACATGAGTCTGTTTTAACAAGAACACAATTAGGAAAAAGTTAATATAATTTTGTAAAAGATTAAGTATTGAAACAGATGTCTAAGATTTGATTGTGTTCATTCATTTGTTGATGCAGTTATCAATTTCAATGGGACAAGCCTTTTCAGACAAAGTCCATTACAATCTCTTTCAACAACTAATTGTTTCTTTTTCATTTTTGGCATAATGAACCAAAGCACATGGTAGGAAAACAAATTTAGAACTTTTCTCTTTTTTTTTCCTTCATTTTTACAAATATTTAAATTTAGAACTTTTTCTAACAATTTTATTTTAATTTATTTAATTTGATAATTGTGCATGTATAAGTTCAAACAGCAGCATCTCATTTATATCAAGGGGGTGAAATTTTATTCATTAAATTATTAAACTAAAAATATATTAAAGAAAATAATAGAAAACTGATTAAAACCATTTCAAATAGATTAAATTATTAAATAAATTATTTCATTAAATTAATTTGACTCAACAATTTATAAAGTGAACAAATAGTCTATTGGTTTTGTAGATACCAAGTGAAGCAGATGACACGTCCACATAGAACGGGCCATGTGGCAATATAATCAAGACACGCAAGCAACGACTCATGACAAAGATAACCATTCAATAATGACTATTATTTAAATATTATAATTAATTAAATACTTATAAAAAATTGACACGTATATTTAAAAAATGAATAATGTTAATTTTTGCATGAATTGATAATTATTCAAAAAGAGAAAAAGATAAACTTACCAAGAGCTTCTAATTCCCTCTTCAAATGTGCTTTACTCAAATAAGACGATAATGCCCTTGCTGAACCTTTCTGTAGGTAAATCAAGCAAAGAATACACCAAAAACATATAACAAAAACAAAAGCCACTGGAAAAGCATAAAAGAACCAAGTGTTGAAACTGATTGGTTTCGCTCCAGGTTCAAGGCTCTTCCACATTCCGACCAATATCAAATTGACACCTGTCCCAGTCAAAGTACTCATTCCTCCTATCGGCACCGCGTAAACCACCGTCAGAACCACCGCTCTACTAAACTTGTTCACTAACTCCGATTGCTCCGACGAAGGCGGAAGCCGTTGTAACAACCCCGTAGCCACCGGCATCAACATCACCGCCGCTGCCACGTTGTGCATCCACATACTGACAAAGAATGACGTGGCACATAGACCCAATAATAATAGCGCTGGATTCAACGGTTCCCCACAAAACACAGATGTCACCTTCACATTTCACATTTCACATCATAACTAACCAATTATCAATCTCAATCATTTTTATTCACAATAATAAAATTAAAAAATAACATATTTTCCACATCAATTATTCATGTAAGCTGTTCAAGCAGAATTCAACCTTCAAATCATAAAAATAAGAATGATATTATTTTATTATGAAACTCACCGTCAAGGCCAATCTTCGATGAACGTTGTAGCGTTCCACGGCGAGGGCGAGAATGAAACTTCCGAGAACGAGAGTAATAACATCATCCATGTAAGAGTGAGCAACGGTGTCAGCAGAAGCGATTCCGAAGAGAGGGAAGAGGAACAACGGACACATAGAGGTTACCGGAAGTGGTAAAGCAGAAGTAACCCACCAAGTGAAAATCCAAGCGATGACGGCGAGCATGTTGCGACTGGTTTTCGGAGCGTCGAGTTTGACAAAGAGACAGATGAGAATGGACAATAAAGGTCCGAGAAGAATATAGAAGTTCTTGAGGGTGAAAAGGGATTTGAAGGTGAAAAGGTTGGTGTGTGTTCTTTGGAGTGGAAGAAGTGGGACCTTCAGGTTGTTGTTGTTGATGGAATCATCGGAAACTGATGTTTCACTGTGTTCTCCTCCACTCATTTTGGTGTTTTTCAAATTGCAAGAGAAGAAGAATGATTCTGTCAAGGTTTCAGTGTTGCCCTTTTATTTCACAATTCTCATGTGCCTGCGGAATGAGTGCCCAAATTTGCTTCTCATTTATTTTTTTATTTTTTGTTTCATTTGACACAAGGAAAAATCATATATATTTTTTAATAATATAGCAAAACAAATTTGATATATTCTTCATAATGCCGAATTAAATTTTCCTTTAATAATTGGAATAATAATTTATAGAAATGGTAAAATAAATAAGATTACTTAAAATAAATATTTAATTTTTTCAAAAAAGAAATAAATAAAAAAATAATTTTAAAATGAAGCTTTTGTATTTTTGTGTGTGTGTGTTTCGATAACATGTAATTTGTGCACAAATATGTTAGTATTATGTAGAGCTATAGATAAAATGTCCGTTAGATAAGAATTTCTAGTATTTTAGATGAATATAATCTTTAGAAATGTTGTCCTTTTTTGAACTTTCCAAGTGTTGCAAGAGCAAACCCTAACAATCATGAGCGTGTGAATTTATTACAAACCAGCACGAAGACTGCATCTTTAAAGATTTATCCGCCAATGTGTGCAAATCCTTCGTGATACAAGAGGTTTTTCTTCATTTTTGGAGGTAACAAAACAATGAAATTAACGTGGAGATGAGAATCTAGGAAAAAGTAGAAGGATGAAAAATATGTATTTTTCTCTTGTGTGAATTTGTTTGTTATATTGCTTCAAAAGAAAAAAGAAAAGAGAAATAGATACATGATTTTACCCAACATCAAAATGTGACCTCAGCTTCTTCAAAACGTGTGTAATTGTTTTGGTGGAAAAAGAAGAATATAATTATAGGCATGACTCATTTTAGTTTTGACTAAGTAAAAGGATATTAATAGTTATAAGTCAAAAAAGGATATTTAATGATTAACTATTAACTAAAATACATTAAAAAGAAATTGCTATCGAAAAACCCCTTAATTACAATAAAACTTAAAACTTAAATCTAAAAAATATTCTGTTTTTTTTTTTTTTTTTTTTACTTATGTGGTATTGAATGACTAAGGGTGTACTTATTTTAAGTTATGAAATTATGTTTCTTGGAATCATATTTTTTGAATTATTATTATTAAGAATAATATTTTTATTTATGTGTTTGGACAAATATTAAATTTCTTTGGAATGTTTATCAATTTATTTAATTTTAAAATTATAAAAAAATAAAAATAATAAATTGTGAGTAGTAGTGGGAAGTTACATATAGTTGAATTTATTTCTATGGGAATGTTGAACTCTCACCCTTTAACCATGGGAATTATTATGACAAAAGTTATGTGTAAACAACATTTCTGGGAATAAAATGTATCCAGGAACAATATTTAAAAACTTGAAACAAACATAGGATTATTGTATTTCCACCGTCATATTCTCGAGAATCCAATTTCAATCATTGAAATAAACACACCCTAAGAAATTGGGGTAACGTTGAGATATTAGATATAATTCAAGTTGTGTAATCCAAATCCAATTAGGATTTGTTAGTCTACTTAGTGTACAAGTTAGTTGTATATAAATAAACTAGTTTATAAATTAGTTTGTAACAATTCAATACAATAATACAATCCTTATTTTTCTTATTCTCTCTTTCTCCCCTCATTAAAAGTGCCTCACACACTAATAAATTGACATATAAAGTTCCAATTAGATTCTTGATCGTATTTTCAAGAATCACACGTCATAGATCGTATTTTCGGGATCGTGGATTGTTGTTAATCTATCATTGTGAAGATGAATGTTACTAATAGAATTATGAATTCTCTTTCAACTCTTGACAGCAAGAATTGGATTCGATGGAGAAAATAGATGCAATATTTGTTCGCCTTTCATGAAATCTTAGAAGTGATTACTGTAACGCGGTGGGAAAACTGACTTGGTTGTTTTGCATTTTATCGCAAATGTGCGGATAGCAAGAGTCGCCACCGACTTTTCTTTTATCCAAAAGGAAAGGTTGAAAAGAACATGAAAGACCTTTAGAGATGTTTTCTTGCTTTTGTTTGAAAATATGCTTTGTGTGGTTTTTTAAAGTATTTTGAAAAGGCGTCATCGTTTAGGCAAACTTTGTAATAATTCTCGTTCGTAAGAATGTATACAAAGTGTTGATCTTTTGAAAATATTTCAAGTTTGAAAGATGTTTTGAAAGTGTTGGTGTTTTGTTTTGAAAATGGGAAGGATGTTTTGGTTTGAAAATGAGCAAGCAACTAGGAACATTCTACCTACTCAAAAAGTCTTTCTTGTTTATTTCCTCTTTCCTTTGACATTGTTATTTTACCATGGATTGATAAGTAACCTTATCTTTGGATGTAAAAGGGACGGGCAAGGGTCACCGTATAACCATGATAGCAATGTTGTGAAATATCTTAGCAATTCTCTTTGAGGGACTAAGATCATTTTGAAAGGCAATATTGATAGCGTCATCGAGGGACTATGATCTTGTATTTTGATTTGTTTTTGCTAAGATACCCCACATGCATAACATGGCCATTTTAAGGCAACAAAGTGGATTTACCCTAAGGGTGTAAGTGTGCAAGTGTGTTGATTTACATGCATTATTTTATCTTGAATTAGGATTTGCTAACTTGTTGATTTTGATCTTTCCATACAAACCCTAATTTACTAGTATTTATATATAAAACATTAAATTGCAGAAAATAAAAATATTAAGCTATTACAACAATAGGGGAGGGGGTGTACAAATTTACAAATGGGGATTTTTCAAGAAAATTAAATCTAATTAAATATTACAACCATATTGAATATTGTACAAAATTGAAAATAATGAATGTAAAAAAATGAAGAAAAAAAGAGATTTTTGTTTGGATTTTTAGGAAGGGGTTTGGTTTTGACCTAATTAACTAAAAGAAAATAATTAATTAAATTAAGAAAATTAAACCTAAATTAATTAAGAAAAGAAATTAAGTAAAAATCCTAATCTAAATATTAATTGATTAAGAAAAGAAATTAAGTTTGTAAGAAGAATATTTTTTGATGTTTTTGTCTTGAAAGAAAATTAAAATGATATATGGTATTATAAAACTATTTTTGGTCTTTTTGGTTTTAAGAATATTTTTAATTGTGTAAAAAGAAATAACTAAAATCCTAGTTTCTAATTTAATTTACAAACTAATTAGTAAAATAAATAAAGTGTGATTAACTTAAAATAATTTTTTGTGTAAAGATTAAATGAATTAAATAAAAATATGAATATAATGTTTTTTTTAATAATTTTTATGATTTTTCAGTATTAAATAAAACATTAAAAGAAAGCAAATAAATAAAAATGAGAAAAAGAAAATAAAATGGGCCATGTGACAAAAGTGAGCAGGGGGTGGAAAGCTAGCAAAAAATCCAAGGCCCAAAAGAGGAAGGCCCAAGCGCCTGTTTACGAGATAAAAAGAAAAGAAATGTTGGAAAAAAATTAAAAAGTGGCAGCGCTGGGACTTGAACCCACGCCCTTGACATGATACGCGCGCTGCCTTACCACTGGGGTGGCTATACATCCGTTAATTTATACAAAAACAACAAATACATAACACAAGTTAAGTCCTGGAAATGACTTCATCTTCAACCTCCAGCCAGGATCCCTGCAACTTATTCGTTTCTCAACCATTTGCAAAATTATAAACATGAAAGTTGTGTAAAATTTCACAACGATTCCAGAAATGTAAATAACTAAAGCTATAAATCAAAGATGAATGAGAATTTCTAATGGTACCAAATTCTGATCTAACTTTTCTAGGATGTTCAGATTCAAAATTCTAACTACTCAAACAATATAAATGAAATCTAAAGACATGGTTAGTTTCACGTCTATGATATCTACATTTTATCTTCACAAATACAAAACAAATGATGCCTATATGAAGAGTTCAAAAGTCAGAAAACTCACCTTGAAAATGGAATTCGTGTTTTGAGTTGGAGCTTGTTTCAAGGTGCTGCAAGGATCATGTTAGCTTCCTTGAGGTCCCAGGAAGCTAATGCAATGATTTTTTTGGTTGGAGAGTGGCTGAAATGGTCTAGAGAAGTCCACTTACAATGCTCTATTTTTGAGTTTGGACAATGGTGAAAATGGAGTTACAAAACTGTAACAGGTATTGGGATGAGTTGTGGATGATGTTTAGGAACTTTTGGAATGATTTGGAGAGGAGACACACGAGTAATTTGAGAGATGGGAGTGTAAGGTCAATTTCTGCACAAAAATGGAGTTTTTTGTGCAATCTGAGTTTGTGAGGGTTTGAGTGAGTTTTAGGGCTTGTACATGCATGTGTTATATTGAAAATAGTGTATGTATTTATAGGCAGGGGGTTTTATGTTCTATAACAAGTCAGGATTTAAATTTACATGTTGTAAAACCTTTACTTGTTTTTGAAGCAAACACGACAAATATCTCCCAAAGCATGTACCATGCTACTGTAAAATGGTTGAACTTTAAACAAGCTTGCTTCTGACTTGTAGGTGTTGTATGTGCAGAAGGATCCATTGAGAGGCTGAAGAAGGGTTGACATTTGCAAAAGCATACTTTTCAAAAATGGAAGTCTTGCCCTTCTTCCAAAAATGGCAAGTTAACTTAGACAAAGCTTGGATTTAATGGATAATAGCCATAAAGTTTATGTAATATTCTAATTAAGGATATATACACAAGTTAGAGGGCCTAAAAAGTTGGATTATGCAACATGGCTATGGATTTGGGTTCATGTTCATCACAAAATTTGTCTTGCAAAACAAGTTTGAAACCCTAACTTTGTGCCTTCGATTCTCCTTGATCACAAATGATCTCAGGGAGTTCTTGGACATTTTAGAAAGCTTGTAATGTTCTCTACAACCCATATTTGAATCACTTTTGCAAAATCCAAAAGGAATCATGTGTAAATTGGCTCAGAAGTTAGGTCAAAATCCTGACCAAAATGCTTAAAATTTCACTAAGTGTTTTAGTTTCA